AACCTTATTGATTGTTCAATATTTGAAATGATTGCTTATTATTTTAACCTTGAATAAGTAGAGGCACTTATCATTTCGTCAAGCATTAGGAGGAATTTTGTGTTTTTGATGACATGCATGATTGATATTTTTCCAAGTCGTAATTTTATTTTTGCATAAATTTAATATTTTGTCTATTTACTTAAACATCGGTTGTGGATTCATTTTCAAATTGGGTGACACACTCAAAAAATTAAAATATATATTTTAAAAATTAACGAGATACCCAAGAAAATATGTTTGGATGTTTTGGCCCATTTTTTCATAAGGCCCATGCCTTAATGAAAGTACATGTTTTTTTTATTTATTAGGCGACCATATGTGGATTTATATATGTCATAATTTTTATATCAATACAATTTTTAGATAAAATAAGAAATTCTAAGCTCAAATCCTAGAAAAAGGATACATTATTCTTTTCATGTGTATAGAGAGAGCGGTTTGTTTTTTATATATTTTTGTTTTTATTTTAGGCTAGTCTATGAGTTAAAAGAGGTTATGGAAAGAAAAAAAAAGCAGCAGCAGTAAATATGCAATTCGTTTTTTGCTTTTCCCATATGAGCCGACCAGTTAAGGGAACCTTTCTTTTGTATTGGCAAGCACCAAATGTCTTTCTCAGTAAGCCCATCTTCTTTTCATGAATTTCTTCTTCTATTTCTGGGTAAATAGGGGTAAATCAGTGGGGATTTGGGCTCCTATCCTTAGGTGCGACCGGAGTCTCAAACTTCATCATAGGGCTCGGTACTACCACCAAGGCTCCAACCCATTCTCGTTTTTATGAATTTCTTTGGTTCGCGTTTAATATCATTCCTCATGCCCGTAAATCTCCCTTCATACAATCTATCTCCTCCACAAATCTCTCATCATGTGTTATCAGCGAGTATACTTCCCTCTTTTCCTAGTTCTTAAAGAGCTGTGAACTTGTCCTCCTCTGTCAACCAACTCCCAAGAATACAGAGTGGGATTGTAATGTACAAGTTAGAACAAGAAGCTTCATCAAGTACACTCAATTTGCCACCCTCATCACATGTTAATGTGATGCCACTTCTGGTGAAAATGAGCACCTCACCTGCCAAAAGTTGTGGATACCCATGGTTGCTCATTTTGTCACACATACCTGCAATGTAGTGTGCTTCCACCCACTTCTTTTCTTGGGTTAGACCCAAGACCCAGCTTTTGAACCATGGTTTCCGTGTGCAATACAAACAACAACATCCTGGTCTAGGGTTGTATGTTCCTGTAGGCGGTCAGTTCTGGTTTATAGTCTCCCACTTCTTCATCCACTTCCTCTGTCTCAATGTTGAAAGCCAAGATATCTCCATAAAGGAGGTAACCTATGCGGCCGTGTGATGCTGATCTCCAAGGGGATACTGCCACGAAGCATAAGGTGGATGGCCTGTTGGCCTGGGCTTATTTGGTTCCTTTTGAGCCCCAGTAACTCCACCCATTAACGAATTGGGCGAAGATCTTGAAATTGCAGTTTCCAGGGATGAAATAAAACCCAAAGTTATCCACATATAAAGGACCAGAAAATTTTGGAATGGGGGAGCATTGGCCAGTTGCTGGGTTGGCAATGAAGAAAGTATCTATGTTTTCCTTACTAAGGCAGCATAGAATGCCATGGCTGATTGCCATATACTTGGGTGCTTTAAACTTCAAGCTTCAAGATGCGAAACCATCGCCGAGATTGTAGAGAGATCCAAAAAAGATTCTGTATTATGAAATGATCAATATTTTCAGTCATTTTACACAGTTATAGTTTTAATTGTGTGCAATTTGAATTCTTGTTAGTAATCTTAATTACTCTACAATTAATAAAATTTCAATCAGATATATTGAAGTCCCATTGATCAACTAATAAATAGATTATTGATAAAAATACTATAATATCCCACATAAAACTTGCCGTTGAGAATATCTCAATAGGAGTCATTGTCACTAAAATGGTAGGTTGGACTCAATAAACATTAGGGATTCACTTCGCTATAAACCAATGTTTCAAAAAACAGCAATTCAGATCAGGAATCACAGATCTGAATCGGGAATTGGTGGGGACTAATTCACTATAAAGCAAAAGGAAAATATCCCATCCACATAATGTGGACTCGTCAGATTGAACGAGCCCATATCCAAGGGCCACAAAATAATTCCTTTTTGTTTTAGTTAAATATGATCTTTATATGGGTATAGATGATAGCACACTAAAAACTTGAACATAGGAAATATTCTGGTCAATTTTTTTGTTTAAAACATTTTTTATTAGATTTCCCATATAAAAAAGCATTTATACTTCGAAATTTTAAACAAAGATATTTTTTTTTTTTTTTAAAAAAAAAACAGAATTATTTTATGGCTGTTGAATGAAACCAGGTTCAACCGTTCAAGCATCCATCACATGGATGCTATACCATCCCATAAAAGAAGCTTCTCTTCATATGGGGTGCAAGCTTCCACCTCTCTATGATTCCTTTTTCTCAGCTTTTTTAACTTGAGCTTCTCATGGGTTTCCATAACCACTTGCTTATACCTCCAATTATCCACAAAGATCATTAACTGCATCAAAGAACTCTCCCTTAATCAAACCATACAAGAATACATCTATCAAGTTCTGGTCAAATTTAATACTTTGGTTTTACTTGCCAGAATTCACCATCATCTGATTCGTCCATTTATCCACAAAGATCATTAACTGCATCAAAGAACTCTCCCTTAATCAAACCATACAAGAATACATCTACCAAGTTCTGGTCAAATTTAATACTTGGGTTTTACTTACCAGAATTCACCATCATCTGATTCGTCACCTTAGTCCATGGAAGTGAGCTGTCGAACATAGAAGAACACATGTGCAACAAATTTTTTTTAAAAAAAGCAAACCCTTCAACAACTACCACCACTAGGAAATGCAAAGGGAAACAGGAATGAACAACTACCACCACAAAGGAAATGCAAAAGGATGCAGAGATGAACTACCACCACCACAAAGGAAATGCAAAGGGATACAGAGAAGAAGTGTGATCTCCTTCAAACATATGAAAGTTTATAAGATCCACAAAAACAAAACCATAAAGAGAAAGAAAACAAAGATATTCCAAGAAGCATTCATAAGCATTGCATTCCCCAAAAGAGAAGACAAAAATCTAAGAATCATGTATCCAGAACATGAGAATACAACTGAAAACCAGGGGTTCAGAGCCTACACTGCACTCCATTTCTTGGGTGATCAAAAGGTGCAAATGAAGCTGACATTTTCCAGAGTTTTCTTCAAAGGAAACCCCAAAAGAATCTTCTCTTTGCCCTAATTTGTCTTTAACCAACTGAACACAACTCCAAACAGGAATTAAAACCCACCTAATAGGAGGAAAAAAAATCCCAACTTTTCTAGCTAGAGCTTCCACATTTGGAGAAACACAGCAAATTCCTCCCAGAAAAGCCCTAAACTTGAGGAGAAATGAGCACAGCAATCCAACAATGACTTCCCATGTTTAGAGAGCATAATCAAGCGAGAGAGGCCAAAATGTGTGCAAATTTCCAGACAAATCCATCACATGGTTAGAATAAACCCAAAATTATCACCATCTAATTTTGCATCTGTGTAGAGGTTAGCAAGCTTTTCTGCTCTTGTAACCTATATTATACAATGCAGAACAAAGAGAAGCAAGGCAAAATCACAAGGATCACAACATAGAAAGTTTTGACATTCAGTTCTTCTTTTTCAGACATATAACAAAACAAGAGTCATGGAATTCAGATTTTAATGGCTATTAAGCCTGTTTTAGACCATAGACTCAGCATCAATTTCTTGAGTTTTCTTTGTTTCCCTTATGAATATTGAGCAAATTTTCTGCCTCTTCTCCAAAACTTAACACATATCTCTCCAAGAACGCCTTCTCCGTTAAAACACAAATTGTCAATAAACTCGCATCCTTTTCCAGCAACTTTCTTGACCTCAACACTTTCAATAGATTAATCCTTGGGATCAACCTTCTCTCTAAATTGAAACAGAATATACGTGGATGAAAAAACAGATATTTCTCATCATATTTAAGTTCGTTGATGAAATAATCCATAGTCTTTTGCAACTTCTGTTCTGAAAAACAAAAGATTACAGGCATCTTTTGGAAAGCGGTGCGAATGTCTTCTTCTGACCACCCAAAGCTCTTAAAGAACGTAAATTTCCTCTGCCATGTCTCCTTGCTCATGGAACTCATGAACCCAACAGCATGAGAGTACATTTTAAAGTGAGATTCAATACCCAATTCCTTAACTTTCTCTGTGATTTCTATAAGCCTAATGGACTTCACTTCAAATAAGTGTGTCCTTTTCAATAAGAGTGCTCTCAACTTCGAGCCGCCAATTCCCTGGCTCTCCATGAACCTAACATTGGCCTGCAATCTCTTGGACACCAACGTACGACGACCTTGACCTTTGAGAAACTTCAAGAAACCTTTGGGATCCAAGTAGTTTTTAAGGAAGAGAACGTTAGGGAGAAGTCTTTTGTTTAAGCTATACATAACAATGGTTGGATATGCAGAGATGACGGCCCCAAGATCGAATTTAGAAAGGCCCAAATCTTCAAACAATTTGAATTTGGGTTCTAGGTTTTTCTCGACATTGGCTGCAAGAATATGGGGGCACTTGCTGATAATTGTATGGATATGGATTGCTTCAAAACCTTTGGCTTTGAGGAAGTTTAGTACCGAGAGAGCTTTCTCAGGGGTTTTGACATGGAGAAGCTGGGAAGATGCAGCAATGGCTCCTTGCTTTGAGAACCCAAAAGAGTCCACAAACAGATTAACCATGAAAGAAGAAGTAGAAGAAGGTAAGGCCGTTCCATCATTAATGAGAGAAGAAGGAAAAGTGAGAGAAGAGGGTTTTGTGGAGAACTGTTGAACATAAGAATGAAGAGAGAGAGGAATGACAAGGGAAATGAGAAATTGGGGTTTGCAGAAAGATTGGGCTTTTGTCAAGGCCATGATTTTGAAGATTTAGAAGAATATCATCAGTTACAGTGTTAATGGACTAACAACACTTTTGCACTAAAAAAAAAAGGAGAAGATCGTTTATGTTCTGATGAATGAAGAACACCCAACAAAGAAAGAAAGAATGAGGACCATACCCAGTGGCTTGCTGTAATGGGATGACCGGTAGCTTCCTTTACGCCCTTTCTTTCCCTTACTGCAAATAGTTTATAGAGAGAATCAAATAGCGAGGGAAGTGCCTTCGTCAAGGTTTAGAGCGAGAAAGTGTGACTGTGACCCTTAGGGCTTGACATGTATCAGAGTAATTTTTCCTCTATCGAGTGCCAGGAAAATCGCACTTAGTGCTTTAAATGGGTTTGGGTTGATGCTGAAACTAATGCGGCCCGACCGGTAGGGAGTAGCCTAGACCCAGAACCGGATCAGACCCCTCAGGTCCAATATCTAGACCCAGACAGGGACCCAGATGAGGTCGATCCCATATGTTAATCCAATTAGCGCCCCTAATTGTACTTACTAGCAACCAAGCTATGTTGGAAAAACCGGGCGATCTATCGGGTATATGCTCATTTAGATTGGAACTGGCTATTGGCCGGTTTCGGGATCAAGCGGTTTTGGTGATTGACTGGTATTTTAATAAAAAAAATTTAAAATAAATATATATAAAATTTCAAAAATAAAAAATTTTGTTTATAATATATTTTTAATATTCTTTATATTATGGTAAAAATTTAAAATTGTTGTGGTCATTAATACTCACTTCTATAGCTTTCCATATTTTAAATTTTTTTTTAAAATATCCCTCCACATAAATCAATTCTTTATAATTTAATTTTTTTATTAATTTTCAACTTCTTTTGAATGTGTTTTGTTTTAATCAATCTTTACATGCTTTTCATATTTTAGTAGATTTTTTTTTATATATTTTTTATTTTTTTCAATAATTTTTTGACTGCCATGGGACTTATCCGGTTAGAACGGTTGAATCAGCCGGTTTACCAATTAGACCGATTAAACTGCTTCCGAACCCATGTCCAGTTAATCATTCCAGTTCGATTTTGCAATCACTACAACCAAGTGATTGGGGTGTAAAAGAGATGGCCTTGGCTCGGGTCTATCTTAGTAGAGGACCTACATGCGGACCAGCACTCAAACGAGTCTAGATTCCTCTCATTCAAACCACCAGACTCCGGGATGGCACCCAAAGCACTAGACTTTGAGGATAGGTTTGCTCAATCTAAACCCAACCTAACCTTGGTTTTCGTATTCCTTCTATAATAATTACACAGATTCTATGAGTCCAGGTAAAAATGATTCGGCTCTTAAAATTTTATTTTTGCGATGGATTTTCTGATCTAATTTTTAAAAACATCTAATCTAATTTTGAGATAGATTTTTGGACCTCATTTCTAAAGACATGCAATTTCTAACATGGAGATCATAAATATAAAAAAATTTAAAAAATAATTTTATTAAGAAAACATTTGGATAATCAATTTCAATTGTTTTGTTTATCAGTTTCAATTATTTTGTTTATAGATAGACCACCTATTTGTGTCCATCTTTAATATGTCTTTAATATGGATGCCTTATTCCCCAAGGACCGTAAATGTAGAAATACGGTCCCCGCCGCATGAAATAATTTTCCTAATCATAAAGCCTTGGAGCACTATCAAATGGAACATTATACGAAGGATATTTGTACAATGTGTCAACCTTGGATAATCGAAGTTAGGCGCCTCCAAAACTGGTCAAAAGACAATTTGAGTGCCACAAACCTCTATTACGAATTGAAAATCCATTTCCACCCCAAGTTATGAAATTCAAAACTTAAAATGATGCTAATTTATAAGCTCTTGAAAATGTTGAAAAAAAATTAAATATGTTATAAACCATGTGCAAGTCACAAAGAACTTAACAAAACTAATCAATAAACCCCATATTATCAAGAATGCATGGGCTTCTCATTCAATCTCACAATTACAGTGTTGGCGAAATTCTCACAATTGTCAAGAATGATATTCATCAGCTCAGGTGCATTCTCCCTCAGAATTACATTGGCAAGGACAAGGGGGAGTGACTCCAAACCTTTGAGGGCTTTAAACAATCGAAATGTTAATATCATCCCCTGTTTCACCGCTCATTCATTCTTCTCATTCAAGCTCAAACTATACTCTCAAAACTCGACCCGTGGACCGGAACCCACCAATTTCGTCAAATTTGAATAGAAACCATGGGCTACTTTCTCCTCCACCTCCATTGCCACGTAATAAGCATCACCCATCGTTTTCCTGGATTCAATGCCCACATTGCTGCCTCTTGGGTGTTCAAAAGCACATTACAAGCCTTGCTTTGGACCTTATCAGCATCAGTCAAGTTAAGCCTGATAATGTTAAGCAGCCATGATATTATAGCACAAACTATCACACATGTCACATCATAACAAAGGTGGCCATCGCATAATCGCGGGGTCTATGTCAAAATTTACCTCCACTTTGAAAGATGGGCGAATAACAAATATCCACATTCTCAAGCTATGTAATCTTCACTTCAGAGTTTTGAGGGGTCTAAAATGGTGAAGAATAAGAATCTTCTCTACATCTATAACATCCTCATGCTTTGGCCACAAAGTACTTGAGTATGGATGAGCTTCCTTCTCATTTTTAATTTCACTTTCTTCATTGCAAGCTCCAAGAACCTAGCAGTCACATCCTCGAGCATGAATCCAATTATGCTGAACTTTTTCCTCCATTATTCAGTAAGCTTCCTTCTCCAAAAGGCTTTTTTGCAAAATATACAACGTCCCATTTTCTCAATTTTTGATGGGTTCCTGATCGCCTGCAAAATATATTCCCTCTAGGCTATCCCATCTTCATTTCTCACCTTATAGATCAAAACCACCAAATTAAACGCCAAGTTTGCAGGCTGCTATAGAGTTTCAAGGATTTTGGACTTCTTATGGCTACAAAGAAAGTGGATTTCATTTGGGGCCTTGCATTGTTTCTGGGAACACATCACTGAGAAGGCAAATATTCAGGTCATTTGTGGAGGGTGGCTTTGATAATGCTATGGCATCAGCTGAAGCCTAAGGAGAGCTACGATTTGGTGACCCCCACAAGCATACATACCAGTGTGTTGGTCCAACATTTGGTGACCTCCCACCTAGTATTTTTCATGTACAAGTTTTTTTTTTTTTTTGAGAAAATTTAACTGTATTAAAAGGCCCAAATTATAAAAGGTGAGGTGACCCAAGAGAAGAGGAGGGTACATCCTTGAACAAAGGATTAATGGTGGCCTAGAAGGCCACAAGGTTCCTGACCTTATCTGCCAAAAGCCTTGCTGAGGACCTCCTTCCCCTGAAGATCCTCTGGTTCCTTTCAGTCCAAAGGAACCAAAGGAAGGCAGAGATGGATGCTTTCCACAGTAGCTTCCCCCCCTTCAACCAAGGTGAGTGGATAAAGGTTTGAAACAGATGAGGAGTGGATCTAGGGGTCATCCAAGCGTAACATATCTCAAGAAGTAGGTAGCTTCTCTACAAATGTGAAAACTGACTAGTAGCCAAATGATGCCTCCAATATTAGTTGTAACAACAGGCACCCTTCAACCAGATTAGTTTCATCAATCATCACCACCGCTGTCATTGAAGGATCTGAATGATGCAAGTTTCCGCTGTAGTAGAGTTTCGAATACAAGATCCAATATTTCAGTGCATAACTTCCACAAAAAGCAGATCTCAGAGGTTAAATAACCAAGACAATATTTTTAATCTTCAATAAGATGCCTGGAATTTTGTGATAGCAGCCAGTTTAAACTATCTGCACAGTTCATACTGATGATCGGGTAAGTCCTAATGGAAAAGTAATGGCTAGGAGTTTCCAGAAATGATTCCCAGGCATTGCTTTGATAAAGCCCGAAGCATTATCTTCCAAACGTTCCAAGGAAGCAGAGGAACACAAGAAATGTCAACTTTCCATTAAACAAGCATCCAGAGAGTACATGAAGAGTCATATGCAGAGAGAGCTCCAAGTCAACCCTATTTTTAAAAGCAAACAAACTTTTTAGAACCAACTGAATTCTTGAATTGCAGAATCCATGACAAATATAGATGCATTTCTTGAAATTTTTTTTTTTTTGAGAGAATCATTTCTTGAATTATTCCCTCCACAATTGATACCTCAATCCTTAAATTCAAAAAATTTCTCAGGTAATCAACCCAAGCAAGAATCATCAAAAAAGGTCCAAGGAACAATGAAATGGCAGCTTCCCAATTAAAGAGGCATTTTAAGAGGACATGAAAATTTTGAAGAAAAAGAAATCCACCCCATGAATGAGATTTTAGCAGCTAATTTAGATCACATACAATAAAACAAAAGTAGCCGCTACCTGTTGAATTATTATCTCAACAACTGATGCCTCCATCAATAGATTCCATAGTTTCTTATGTAACCAACCCAACCCAGTTTCTAAAACCAAGAAGTAGAGAGCGAGAATGAATAAACTTTCAAAGAGAAGAGCACAATGAGGGGTAAGGAGGAGTAGGTGGTTGGATCTGGTTGAGAATCCGAGTTTGGAGTTGAGAGAGAGAGAGTATTCGCATAAAAAGAAGCAACAAAATCTTATTAACCAACAGCTCTCATTTTGGGGGAAATCATCCATTCAAAATGGGAGAGAGAGAGAAAGGGAGAAGACATAAATGAGGCCTCTTGGGGGGCTGACTTTCCGCACTAGGGGCAATCTTCGCTGCAAAATAAGAGAGAAAGTGAAGCCCCTTTGCCCTGAAATGGGTTTTCAACTTCCCTCGCCAAGGTATACTTCCATCCCTAAAGGGGTGACCAATTTTTTGTGCCAAAGGCAGAAAGTCATAACTTGGGAAGGGTGGAGTGCATTTTCACTCCAAAGTTTGAAAATCGAAACAAATGGGTGGACTTTCTGCACAAACAAACACATACAAAATCCTAGACAAAACCGTAACAAGGTCAGAATAAAACCAAAATTATAGCCTGCTAATTTGCATCTGTGTAGAGGTTAGCAGCCTTTTATAATCTACTAACCCATATTTTGCAATGCAGAAGCAAAGAAAAAATAGAAAGATGCCAAAGAGTGAAATTTGACATACAAATTCTTCTTTTTCAATAATAAACAAA